ACGTACGACATACACATATATGTACCACACGCCAATTTGATGGTCCGGCACCCGAGGGCTATGCGATAGGGGTTGTTTTTTTTTTCGAATCGAGAAACAGACGTCTCCACTTTAGCAACGGCGATAAATATTCTCGTACGACGATAGTGACAGATAGAGCGTATAAAATGTACCGAATTCGAGGGATAAAAGGGCATCTTTCTTATTTTTTATCTGCCCACTTGGCCACTAGATTTAAAGAGACGACTTGAGGTTTCCGCAGGAAAGAGGGATTCAACAAGCGGCAGTTTGCCCCAAAACGATGCTGACTAGGAGACGCAGCAACGGTTTCTCTTCTCCTTTTCCACGACTCGACTCCCGGCACCGACACTTTATACTGAAGGGGCAATTTTAAAACCGACAGTCGAAATAATGAGGTCGTGCCATGTCATTTTTACACTTTAAGGAACAAAGAAACTTGACGCTATCGAGCCACTAGATCGAATGTAAAATGAGTACCTTCTTTTACTTTTCTTTTTTTAGAAACACTTTTATACCTTGAAAATTGTTTCGAAATTAATTCAGGGATCCCAGCGACTGTAATAAAACATTCTTGCAAATTATTTTCGTTGCCAATACTTTTGGGAACATATTTTTACATTTCTATAATAATAAATTCGAATTGCGATGTTGTGTTTAAATAATAGATAAAAGAACAGCATTCCGTTAGTTTCTCGCGATTCCGGGACTGGAGCGATGTTGTTATGGGTTGCATTTCGCGGTTTCGAAAAGCTTTTAACGTCCCTGGCGTCAGTGGTGTGGAATAGGGAATGGTTGGAGGGGTGGGGGGAGTGACTATACATACTTGTCGGTCTGGAGAATAAGTGAAAGAGGTTCGGGTGCTTGTCTGTCCAAGTTAAGAATATATGTGTGTATTTATTCCGGAGAAGTCCGGGCGGATCCGGATTTGGAGCATTTAGCCAGTTTCCGAGCGGAAGCACCTCAACACAAATGGAGAGCCACTACTGCGGCCGACCTGGATTTCTGAACTGGACCTCGAATTAAAATGGCTTAAAAGCGAAATTAAACTGCAGAGTGATCTAAATTTTTGATGGGACCTTCTTGACCGTCGTACAAACGACCCTCGATGTGGTAAAATAAAATTAATTCCAGAGAACTGTTATTACATTCGCAATTTAAAATGGATTATATCAACTTCGCCTTTGTCTGCCCCGAAGGTAACCTGGCGGCGAAATATGACGTATCGATACTATCAAATTTGCAAAGGTAGACGGATATATTTGGAAGGTCCATTTAACCTGATAATATCGAAATTAACTAACTAGAAAGAAAGAAACTGTACTTACTTGGGACAAAAAAAAACAACGTGTAATTATACAACACGCTACTGAAGTGAAACTTCTTGAAACACACAAACATACCGGGATAGGGGTTAAGGAATTGTTTTAAAGGTATTATTTATACACTATGCTTCGCACGGGTGCAATGCTAATGGTAAATATACTATAGAATGTCTTTATATACAACAATCACAGCTGTTTGTCATTAGACAATACAAACCAGCCGGTACCGCCGCAACCGCTATGTCCCTGCATTTTAAGTCTGTAATATCTTCGAAAATATTCATTTAAATTACATGCTGTAAAGGGCCATATTGATCTATATTAAAAGCATAATATATTTAAAAGCACTTAATTGGATAAGGATTAATGATGTATTGCTTAAAATCGCTTCGTAAATAGGACAAAAAATGGTTATTGTGGGTTGTCTCTAAGAGATAGACATATACCATTTCAGACTTTTTTGTAGACCTTTTTAAGATATACAGTACTGTGGTACATTACTTAGATCTATCTCGTAGGGTTCAGCCAGCGTTTGCAATGTAAGCACAAAAAAATGTGTTTATTTACGACATCACATTACAAACCTCTAAAATTATCAGTGTTTCTCTGCTATATTATGCATGTATTACACATATAAAACTTCCTCTTGAATTACTCTATCTATTAAAAAAACCCGCATTAAAATCCGTTGCGTAGTTTTAAAGATTCAAGCATACATAGGGACAGACAGCGGGGAAAATGCGTTGCATGATTTCGTTACATAGCAACTCGCATGAAACGAACTTACCCTATCGTGCGTAAAAAAGTTTCACTTCAAAAATGAGTAGTATCTACTTAATATTTAGCAGGAAGGAGTGAAAGGTAGCTTCAAATAAACCAGAAGCGATATTGACGCGAAAGTAACGTGTGAACATTAATAAATATAAAACAAAAATATTTGTATGCAACGAATGTAAAAGTAGGGATAATGTTTATATAAAAATCAGTATCGTCATCATAAGTTCTTCACTCCTAAGACTGGTTGGACATGCACCTCCAATTAATATCACAACCAGGATCGAAACGTTGGCATTGTTTTGCAAATAAATCAAAAGTATTAACCAGAATAAGGTTCAGAGTTTCTTCTTTATTCAATTCACAATTTCTGGATATTACTTCAAGTAATAAGTAGATTTTAAAATGAATCGATATTTTCCAGCATATTTATCAATGAAACTTACTTAATGTCCATGTAGATTACTTTTTATTCATTGTATGTTCTATCCGACTTGAACTTTTTCTATAACGACCACGAAGAATTCAAATAAGAATTTACATAGATGTGTATACCTCAAATGTGTGTGGGTGATGTAGTGTGTGTGTGTGTGTGTGTGTGTGTGTGTGTGTGTGTGTGTATGATGAAGCATTCGTTGTATGCATTATAAGGAAATGTATTACATCTATTTCGCTTACGTATATACGGGTGAATATTTTATTGTTGTTGCTATTATTATTATTAGAATTATCAGGAGGTCGCATGCATAGCGTATAGCCGCAACACCGGAGTAAATCTGCAAGACGGCTCATATATCATCGTGTATTCTACTCGGGTAGTGGATCTTTTTCCAGTGAAAGGCATAAATCAGAATGATGCCATTCAAATAAATTCGAAATCTCAAATAAATTATAATATTGTCACTGCTGAGTGCGGAATACAAAATAACTTTCGACTCTATTTCTCTCTTTTCTTACTGTCGTGGGGTCTTGGGCTTTAAGTTGTGTCGAATCCCGGGGACAATTTATTGTGGATGATACACGCTCCTCTCCGCTCGCACCTGAATAAATCAAAATAAGCGAGAAAGAAGGATTTTTCACATTTTAATGTTGCCTTTGTTGTTTGTTATTGTTGTCGTGGTTTGACGCGCATTCGCTGTCCGAGTAGAAACCAGGATTAAGATTTGCGATAGAGTATTTTTATTAGAAGTAAAGAAAGAAAATCAAGCAGCTTTTCCACGAAAACAATTTATCAAGTGCAAGTGTAGAGAAGAATCAATAAGAAGTAGGCGAAATAGATTGGTAGGATACGTTCCCAAGCAGAAGGAAGAGTTAAGAGGAGTACAGGTAGACCTAAATTAGATGATTGTAGATTCAGGGAAATGCGAAGATTAGCTCAGGATAGGAAACAGTGGAGATGCGTGTCCAACCAATTTTAGGACTCACGATCCCATGATGAGCTGTTTTCCTTATTAACTTCCATAGAGCAGAAAATTTTCCTTTTCAATCCTTTACATCATATCACACGAAATTCGTGATTGCCATGCAGTGAGTTGGATATTCAAACCGGGATTACCTTCTATTAATCGCAAAACAGTTTGGTCAGTACTGACCTGTCATCTTTGGTAACATTTATCTTCTCAGTGCGGTACCACATTTCTTGTGTGTTGCCGTCAGTGCACCGCCCATATGTGACTACCATGTCTTTATGTTCTGCATGCGAATACTTGGTTTTTTAATTGATATTTTTAATAAACTTATAAATAGCAGTAGTTATACCAATCAATCGGTAACTGCTATTAATCGTCATTACGTGCAGTTGGCTTGTCCGCGTACCAGCAGCTGTGAAGGTCACGGCTAGGTACGTATGTTTCTCCGCTTAACGCTTGCGGTAACAATGGACGATAAAATGACGCAGCCGCTAATCTATTAAGTTTTCTCAATCGTTGACGACTCTTTAACATGGGTACTTTTTGTTCATAGTTTTTAGACCCACTACGTTGTGGCGCTATCACGAAATGCCCTCTACAGTACCTCCAGATGTTTCCTTTCGAATATTCCGGAATACTCATCAGACATTAGTGCATATTCGAGCGATTCAAATCAACTAACTGACAGTATTTGACAATTTATAGAATATTTACTTTTAACTAGGAAAGAATATGACCGCAAATAATACATACGTTTAAATAATTTAATAAAAGAAATGCTTAAAATGAAAATTTTGCAAGATTATTGTTGCTAATCGATTTGGTAAAAACCATAGTTAATTATTCCCTTAAAATATTCTGTGGAAATGGATGCCGCTCGGAATCGTCGACGACAACGTCGTCAGTCGGCGTCGCTCTCCTTCCTGAATGATCCCTGATTACCTATAGAACTATGTATTGCTGATGACCCCATAAATAAAGACCTAATCTCTAGTCAAAGGGCTCCTGGAGCCCGTCTCCTCTTTTAATCTTATAATTTCCCTGCTGCTCTACCGGGATTATTTGCAATCAACTTTGCTTCGGTGCCCCGTCGTACCAACGCTACGTGTACGAGATGCCGACATTTTACGCCGCTCTACTCCACTACCATCCAACTTCTTTCACTTACTCATTCCCTCGTTTCTTCGCTCTCAAACAAGTGAAGCAGAAGGACATTGATTGGCCTTTAATTTTCTTCTTGAATTTCGACCGGGTCATCAAGAATCCTCTTTCCAGAATAATATACACAATGTTTTTGACTAAATATTTCGACAATGTTTCAAAAGGATTTTGAATCATAAAATGAACTTGGTAATGTTTTCACCAATTGCTTTACATTCCTATTGTATATTAATTTGAAATCATTTTTTCGATTTTTTATTTACCCACTACAAACTACCTCAAATTAATGAGGGAAAAATTGTTGCTGTTGTCACACCTCCGCCGGGAATCGAACCCGGGACCTTTGGCTTTGCACACCAATGTTCTGACCACTAAACTACGTGAGGCCATTATTAATATTGCATATTAATCCACTATTAAGTAACTAACAATATCATAGGATTTCATATNTAAAATAGGATACAAAAAATTAGAAGAAATTACTGATTTTTAGTTCCTAGGAAGTCAGATAAGTCAGGGTGGAAGGAGTAGTACGGATATAAAGCAGATTTCTTAAGCTTTCTTTAATATTCTTTTAAATTTATTTTTGTATCACTTCAAACATTATTTCAGTGCTTTTCACCGTGGTCTCCTTTCAATTGTTCTCTCAATCATTTTTACCTAGAAATCCAACTTCAACCATAGCTGTAGGTATTTTCATACTAATATCTGGTTTTACCCTTAATTGCTTTCTCTTGAAGTCTAAACTGTTCAATTCTACGTATTTTTATAAACCAGTGTTTTCATCCTCACTGTCACTACTTTTCCTTCTAGAACATTCTATTAAATTTGCCAACCACCTTGTCCTATAAATGTTACCGGAAATGTATGAAATCCGCTATTATATAGAATTCTTAGGAAATGTACTTATATCATTCCTGAAATCGCCCAGAATTGTGTGAAATACATTATATTAGACACATATCCTAGGAAATCTATTAATTTCCTAAATACCAATCGGAAATATATTACTGATAATAGTAGTAAATAGGCAATAATTCGTTAATAAGTAATCATTGTAGGGTTAGGGAGTTTCTTAAATGGCCCTGCAGGCTGATATGTTAGAATAATGTGACGATGTTATCTTTACGATGACCTTGAAGTTTTAGTAAGTTACAGGAGTGATAATGCTGATCATTTTCATATATATATATTGGGCGCGGAAATCATAATGAAGCATACTTTTCGAAGACATTATTCCAACATATCAGCCCTTCTCTGGCTAGCAGGGGCATTAATGAAACTCCAGTCTGTCATAAACCTACCATACAATAATATTCATAAACTCCAAACCTATCCTAACTAAACAACAACGTCATCAATGCATATACATCAGGCTATTGCACTAGAACCGCGTAAACTCAGATAACTCTTATTCTCAGTTTACTAACTTGTTTTATTCATTTTAATCACAAAAAGCATTAGTTTTATACATTTCCTAGTACAATATCGGAATTTCATACAATTCCTAGGAAATGTATACATTTCCCAGGATATATATGTATTAAAAAATCTTTGAAACANCTATATTTCATACATTTCTGATAACATAAATAATCACAAAAAATTCCTTTAGCAATAATTCATTACTTCTTAAATTTTTAATGATTATTTGTAATAGTTTTGTTGAATATCTTGTGATTGAAATATACAAAAGAAGAAACTAGAATCGATAAAAGGGAAGAAACAATACAGAAATGTGCAAATTGCAGAATCAAAGCTAAATAAAGACTGTAGATAAACAAACGCAAAGGATTTCAAAGTCAAATAACTATTGAATGATAATTATTTATGGATTTTTGAGCACAAACTTTATTAAGAAATAGTCAGTACAAGCTTTTAGGACGCGTTTACCGAGTGACTGTCAAGCGTGGACTTGACTTCTCATATAGTAGGAGCGCGCGAAATAGGACAATCAACTGTACACGGATTCCTCTGCTTAGCGCCCGAAGCTTCTATACTTACAGACATATCAAATACTTTAATTATAACTAATTGATTTCGAATCATTTGATGTGAAAAAAGAGGTCTTTGGATTTGAAATTCTCCATTTATTCTTTTACTTGAAATGAAAAGACAAACGGTGTGTTTATTCCATTTTTTTAATCGTGTTAGGGAATAGATGGCTATCGGTAAAAATTTCGAATTCATCCATTAAATCCTCCTCGTAGACTATCAGCAGAAGTATCCATACGTTATAGGTCTGTTCGGAATGGGGCGTTGTGTTCCCGGCGTTTTCCATTTTCCCCACAATTTACAAGTAAATTGGACCTTTAAATTCGTAACAAGATAAATAGAAAGATATCGATGTAAGAAACAGGATATGCACACCCTCTCGATTTCGAATCGTACTCATGGTCCACACTCGACCGTATTTTACATACACATACAGAGATACAGGCATACGTCGTTAGGGACCCTTCGAAACCACCCTCATTCCTTCGTCCCCAACAGCCTTTCGTCCACAACAAAAATTGACTTTTGTGTTTACCAAAGGACTTCTCCATCAATTAAACTGTTGACACTCGAAGACTCAAAATTACTCAAGTACAGAAAGAAAATAATTTAAAAACATCCAGGTTTTTTTTTATTCCAGCGTTTCTGACGCTTTAGTAGTACATTAACTAAATGCGTAATCCATTCGTACAGATTTACTTCACATTTTTATAGTTTTTTTGATAGTATTTTGCGTTTTTGGAAAGCTATCGAAGTTATTTTGTTACGTGGTTATGCACGTGTCCATCAACATATGATTTATGACCCTGATTGGTCCGCCGACGGCATTTGTAGCCGCGCTCGGTACTTTTACGCATCTCTCATAGAGGATCACCGCCGCCATATTGATTATGACCTGTGTATTCGTTTTTCCGCAATGATTTATAACTTCCGTGGTCGCATTTACTTATTGAATTGGTCACACTACGACAATTATTGGGATGGGCTTTTATTGTATCCAACGGAATTTTTGTTAATAAATCGTGTTTAAGGCAATTAATTAATTTAATTTAAAATAGGATACAAAAAATTAGAAGAAATTACTGATTTTTAGTTCCTAGGAAGTCAGATAAGTCAGGGTGGAAGGAGTAGTACGGATATAAAGCAGAGGATAGCGCAGGATTGGGTCGCCTTCAGTTCTATACTCGCGAACGGTTAACTTAGAAATGCGAAAAAGATTGTTAAGGGTGAAGGTTAGAAATGAAGAGGTATTAGAAAGAATAGGAGAACTCTATGGAAGTCAATAAGAAATAGGCGAGATAGGTAAGTAGGACACCTTCTCAGGCATGAAGGTATAGTCAGAGACATATTAGAGGCAGAAATTGGAGTTAGGAGGGGTAGAGGTAGACCTAGATTAGATTACTGTTCGCAAATAGTTAAGGATGTGTGTTGTTCTAGTTTTAGGGAAATGCAAAGATTAGCTCAGGATAGGAAGTAGTGGAGGTGCGTGTCCAACCAGTCTTAGGACTGACGACCATATGAAGATGAAGGCAAGTGAAAAGGTTTGTTGAAAAACATAAAGAAGAGCATATACTATTTTAATTGCGCTAATTACCAAAGTGTTAATAATAATAGTACACATGTATTGTGTCCACTGACAATAATCACAAAAACTGATTTGTTCGAATACTTTAACCATTTGAAATGATAAGAAATCATTTCCTATATACGTACGACATACACATATATGTACCACACGCCAATTTGATGGTCCGGCACCCGAGGGCTATGCGATAGGGGTTGTTTTTTTTTTCGAATCGAGAAACAGACGTCTCCACTTTAGCAACGGCGATAAATATTCTCGTACGACGATAGTGACAGATAGAGCGTATAAAATGTACCGAATTCGAGGGATAAAAGGGCATCTTTCTTATTTTTTATCTGCCCACTTGGCCACTAGATTTAAAGAGACGACTTGAGGTTTCCGCAGGAAAGAGGGATTCAACAAGCGGCAGTTTGCCCCAAAACGATGCTGACTAGGAGACGCAGCAACGGTTTCTCTTCTCCTTTTCCACGACTCGACTCCCGGCACCGACACTTTATACTGAAGGGGCAATTTTAAAACCGACAGTCGAAATAATGAGGTCGTGCCATGTCATTTTTACACTTTAAGGAACAAAGAAACTTGACGCTATCGAGCCACTAGATCGAATGTAAAATGAGTACCTTCTTTTACTTTTCTTTTTTTAGAAACACTTTTATACCTTGAAAATTGTTTCGAAATTAATTCAGGGATCCCAGCGACTGTAATAAAACATTCTTGCAAATTATTTTCGTTGCCAACACTTTTGGGAACATATTTTTACATTTCTATAATAATAAATTCGAATTGCGATGTTGTGTTTAAATAATAGATAAAAGAACAGCATTCCGTTAGTTTCTCGCGATTCCGGGACTGGAGCGATGTTGTTATGGGTTGCATTTCGCGGTTTCGAAAAGCTTTTAACGTCCCTGGCGTCAGTGGTGTGGAATAGGGAATGGTTGGAGGGGTGGGGGGAGTGACTATACATACTTGTCGGTCTGGAGAATAAGTGAAAGAGGTTCGGGTGCTTGTCTGTCCAAGTTAAGAATATATGTGTGTATTTATTCCGGAGAAGTCCGGGCGGATCCGGATTTGGAGCATTTAGCCAGTTTCCGAGCGGAAGCACCTCAACACAAATGGAGAGCCACTACTGCGGCCGACCTGGATTTCTGAACTGGACCTCGAATTAAAATGGCTTAAAAGCGAAATTAAACTGCAGAGTGATCTAAATTTTTGATGGGACCTTCTTGACCGTCGTACAAACGACCCTCGATGTGGTAAAATAAAATTAATTCCAGAGAACTGTTATTACATTCGCAATTTAAAATGGATTATATCAACTTCGCCTTTGTCTGCCCCGAAGGTAACCTGGCGGCGAAATATGACGTATCGATACTATCAAATTTGCAAAGGTAGACGGATATATTTGGAAGGTCCATTTAACCTGATAATATCGAAATTAACTAACTAGAAAGAAAGAAACTGTACTTACTTGGGACAAAAAAAAACAACGTGTAATTATACAACACGCTACTGAAGTGAAACTTCTTGAAACACACAAACATACCGGGATAGGGGTTAAGGAATTGTTTTAAAGGTATTATTTATACACTATGCTTCGCACGGGTGCAATGCTAATGGTAAATATACTATAGAATGTCTTTATATACAACAATCACAGCTGTTTGTCATTAGACAATACAAACCAGCCGGTACCGCCGCAACCGCTATGTCCCTGCATTTTAAGTCTGTAATATCTTCGAAAATATTCATTTAAATTACATGCTGTAAAGGGCGATATTGATCTATATTAAATGCACAATGTATTTAA